TTTTAAGATTTTATTTATTTATTTGACAGAGAGACAGTGAGAGAGGGAACACAAGCAGGGGGAGTGGGAGAGGGAGAAGCAGGCTTCCCGATGAGCAGGGAGCCCGATGCGGGGCTCGATCCCAGGACCCTGGGATCATGACCTGAGCTGAAGGCAGACTCTTTAACGACAGCCACCCAGGCGCCCCTGATGGCTCACTTTTAATGGGCACTGCTTTCCATGTCCGTCTGAGGACCCTTGCCATAGCATATTGTAATTTGTCTCTTTATTGGTGTTTTTAGTCCCCTAAACCGTGAGCTCCTCGGGGCAGGTGCTAGACCTCACTGATTTCGCTTTCCCTAGAGCCCAGCCCAGCATGTGTGCATGGCTGTGAGTGATGAATGTGGGTGGATGAAAGAGGAAGAGGTGGTGGGGTAATACACTTCAAGCCAAAAAGTTAAACTTAATTGTTTTGGGGGAAGAGAATAAATACTGTTTTTGTTTATATAGGTCTTAAAATTTGGGTGGCAGAAAGCAGATATACAGAGAACAAGTTAGAATCGGCTGTCTGATTCCACAGAGACAGTCACATTTTGTATTAAAAAATGTAATTTACCATTGATCGCCTTGAAATCTTCAGTTTGTTGTTCTGGTGTCTTAATTAACTAATTACTTAATTGAGTAACAACTAGGGGAATAGATCATAAATGTGAGGATGTTCCTTGTAAGAAGCCCACCGCTCTTTTCTTTCCGTGATGTGTCCTTTTTAGCACCATCCTCGAAGCTTGTGAAACTGAGCTGCCTCTCTGCATTGGACACATGCTTGAATATGATGGTTCTTTCATAAGTATCTGGTTCCATAGGAATTCACTAGTTATGCTTCTATTGAGTCAATTTGAGGTTTCGTTGGAAATCATTCCCATAGTAGAAAAACAAAGTAGCATCATACATCCTCCCCCTGCAACCAGCTCCCAAATTCCCCTCAAAGATTCATTAGCACGGTGTTCATTGTTTTACCCGAAATCACTCACTTTTAAAATGGCTCTTCCCCTCCAGTAGCACCTAAGCAACGGGAGGTAAGTGAGATCAGAAAGAACAGACCTTCTGCGGCTTCCTTCCGCATCAGTGTGCGTGTGGTGGTTTAAGGGCCACTGTGGAAGTCACCTGTAGCTTGTTAGGATCTTACGTAATTAAGGAAATGTTAGTCCTACTCCTCATTCAGTATTCCTTTGAAATACTGCATTCCTCTGACCTGTGAAGCTGCTTGGAAGTAACGAGTGTTGGTGCTGAGGATTCAGTTTGAGCAGTCCACCTTCTCAGGCCCGTGCTTCATCTAATGGTGTCTAGCAGGGGAGCCTCTCGAAGCATTGTGTTCTGTTGCATCAATATGTACTTAGACACGCTAATCTGAATTAGAGAGCTGATTGTACATAATGACTCCTTAGGGATGCCGTGGTAGAAAAAAGAAAACAAAAACTTGCATAGTTTACTGAATATGCATAGTCAGTAAAAAATTCTTCTAAAATTAGTGTTAATTGAATCTGAACCTTGATCATCTTTGAACCTTTAATTTTTAATTCGATCCCTTAAAAAACTCTTGTGGCCTCTTAAAGATACATCCTACAACCAATAAAAGTTATGCTGTAATGATTATAAAAAGGCCAAGTTACCATAGGGAAGTGTCAGTTGTGTGGATATATATGTGAATGAATAGTGTGTGTGTCACATTTATACGTGTTCATACACATACACAGACATATGTGTGTGTTTAATACACACCGTGGTTTGTCTTTATTCAGATATCTCCTTCTTTCTCTGCCTCTGGGAAATGGGGCACATTTTCTTCAGTTAAAAACAGAAATAGAAGCGATGGTCTTGACCCATTTTACACTTATTTATTTCAGGCTCTCACCACACAGTTGTTCATGGGCGCAGCAAGAAGAGGGACCCACAGAGCTGGAGCCGTGAGGGCTGGCACCCTGGACTTGCAGCTAGCAGAACTCGTAGGGGGGCCTTGCCATCCTGCCGCCCCATGTCTGGCTCCAAGATAATTCCATTAGTGAAGTGGTTGCACTTAAAACCCAAAGTTAATTTGAACTGAATGTTACTGAAAATGAAGTACATGCAAGTGCCTCACTCTTGCTTTACCCCACAGTTGTTATGCGAGAGACCCACAGTCTGACGTGGCTGTGGGAGAGCAGGTCTTTACCCACATGCCACCTGGTCACAGAGGCCTCAGCGATCATCCTCATGCCCAGATGCCACTCTTGGTCCCCTTTGCAAGCTTCTCTTTTCCTAAAAGCACTCATCTCCAGAGTGGTGATATAATTATGTGTTGGTTACTGTCTGTGTCCTGCAGGAATGGAAGCCCCACGAGGGCAGGGCCTCCGTCCTGTTCCTGTCTTCAGTGTGTGGGGTAGGGCCTGGCTCAGTGTAGAGTCTGAACGAATGCTGTTGAATGCATTATAAATGGGTCCACTGGTGTGGCATCCTTTCTGAATGTGCTTTTAATTTGCCTTTTATAGATAACTTTTAAAAAATGATAAAACAGTGAAACTTGGGGGTAAATATAAAAATTTTGTTGGGATTGAAATAAGTGACAGTGTTTTTGAGATGCCAGAGCCAATCAGGGCTTTAGGATATTGAATTACAAATTTACTCTCTGTTCCGGTATCCATGCCTTCTGATGAAGAAGCAGAGGAAATAGATGTAGGAGAGACAAGAGTCCTGTCTCTGGAATACAGGGGCACCTAGGAGATCTTGCAGTTTGGGTTCCAGACCACTGCAAGAAAGCGAGTGTCACAATGAAGTGAGTCCAATGCATGGTTTTGTTTCTGGTGCGTATGAAAGCTGAGTTTACACTATATTGTGATCTATTAAATGTGTTAACAGCATTATGTCTAAAAAAATACTGCTGGAACATGCTAACCATCTGAGCTTCCAGCGTGTCGTGACCTTTTTGCTGGCGGAGGGTCTTGCCTCGATGCAATGGCTGCAAGACTGCTCAGGGTGCTGGGTGCTGAAGGCTGGGGTGACCGTGGCGATTTCTTACAACAACAGTGAAGTTTGCTGCATAGATCAACTCTTCCTTTCACAAATTCCTCTAGCATGTGATGCTGTTTGATAGCATTTTCCCCATAGCAGAACTTTTTTTCAAAATTGGGCTCCGTCCCCTTGAACGCTGCCACTGCTTTATCAACTAAGTTTATGGAATATTCTAAATTCTTTGTTGTCATTTCAACAGTCTTCACCAGGAACAGATTCCATCTCAAGATGCTCGTCCATAAGAAACAACTCCTCATCTCGTCAAGTTTTATCCTGAAATTGCAGCGATTCGGTCCCATCTTCAGGTGCCACTTCTAATTCTAGTTCTCTTGCTGTTTCCACCACACCTGCAGTTCCTCCCTGCACTGAAGTCTCGAACACCTCAAAGTCATCCATGAGGGTGGGAGTCTATTTCTTCCAAACTCCTGTTGTGTTGATATTTTGACCTCTTTCCATGAGTCATGAAAGTTCTTAATGGCGTCTAGATGGTGACTCCTTTCCAGAGGTTTTCAGTTTACTTTGCCCAGATCCATCAGAGGAATTCGTATCTAGGGCAGCTGTCGCCTTATGCAATGTATTTCTTAAATAGTAAGACTTGAAAGTTGAAATTCCTCCTTGATCCATGGGCTGCAGGCTGGATATTGTGTTAGCATGCATGGAAACAACATTAATCTCGTTGTACGTCTCCATCAGAGCTCTTGGGTGACCACATGCATTGTCAATGAACAGTACTGTTTTGGAAGGGATCTTTTTTCCTGAGCAGTAGATCTCAACAGTGGGTTAAAAATATTCAGCAAACCATGTTGTAAACAGATGTGCTGTCATCCAGGCTTTGTTGTTCCGTTTATAGAGCACAGGCAGAGTAAATTTAGCATAGTTCTTTAGCATAGTTCTGGAATTTGCACAATGGTAAATGAGTATTGGCGTCAGCGTCCAGTCACCAGCTGCATTATCCCCAAAAAGAGAGGCAGCCTGTCCTTTGAAGCTTTGAAGCCAGGCACTGACTTCTCCTCTCTAGCTATGGAAATGCTTAGATAAGCCTTCCAGCA